CAAGAAACGGCGTATTGGCACCTGACAATGGATCCCGCATTGGCGACGTTGCGGCCCACATCGCGTCCAATGCATCTGTCTGAAGGCAGAAAAAACAAAGCTTCGTCAACTATTTGTAAAATTGCTCATCTAACCGTAACATGTTTTTATTGCAGAGCATGATTTGATTGCAGCCCTCATGATTGGAGCTGCTGGCGCGAGAAACAAGATCCGTGCGATGACATGTGTTCATCAACCATTACAGAATTTTTGATTAAAAATGCACCACACGTGGCTGCTCACAATCACATGTCAGCCACATGTGTTATAAAGTATCGCGGCAAGCCACCCCTGAATTCAGGCCGGCTGGACAGCGGCTTTCGGTAACTCCGGTTCTATTGTTAGGATTCCCTAGGTGTACCTGAGAACATGACCTCATCGAATGGCTACCTGCTGATTCGCGATTCGTCAAAATACAATGCCTGCATCAGCATTTTAATTTACAATGTTCCGGCACATGTTCTCATACTGTAACGCAATATCGGCAACATGATTTGCCGCAATGCCTTTCGCTGCATTGATGCGTGGCCCAGTGGGGCGAGTGATAATATCACTGTAGGCACAGAAGAACTTTGAGCCAGCGGCGCTCGCGCTTCCCTAAGTGCAAATCTGCCATTAGAGAACAGCAACACCTCACAAACGTAACTACTGCACAAAACTGATGTACACCTTTTCATAAATTATGCACAGAACAATATCAGCAAGACATGATTCGTGCGCAGTGGGCCGAGTCTCAACTGTGGTGACCAGGAACGGACAAAGGACATCCACCCTCAATATATGACCCAATCCGCTTACCCATAACTAAATATTCACGAATCGCAAATGGTTATCGTCAAATGTGCTGCAAACTTGCTTCTGTATAAATTGAATACAGAGCAGGTACTGAACTTCTTAGCTGCCCTTATACAACAGCTGGGGCCAGTGTTGGGCCACGGAGAATGTTTGGCGCCGTGCGCGACATCCACATTATGGAGATGGTTTAGAGGTTGCGTCGTATGGCCATAGGGTCGTAAGGGTCCATCACACAATCCCACTCTTGTGGTCGTGCCATCGGCTTCACATCTCGCGTCCCACACCTATGTTCCCTGTGCCGTACGCACTATGGCTTGCAGTCAGTACGATGTTGCGGTACTGACGGCGTGAGCGGGCAGGCTGGCACGCCAAGCGTTGTCCCTCGAACGGGCGAGTCCCGAGGAGGACGACTCCCGAGGGCTCTGAAGGAGCATGGCGACTCGAACCGATGAGCGCCGGGTCGGCCCCTTGACAGCCCAAGGCGGCGAAATCGCGGCGCATGCTGCAGCGTCCGGTGGAAGCGGCCGCACCAAAAACTGGCGCTCTGCTTTGGAAATGATGTCGTCGCGAACGCATCGCTGAGCGGCTGCGTGCCCGCTCCATGATCCGCCATTTGAATCGCGAATCCTGGATCCAGCCTCGCGTCCACCATTGCACTCACCCCCCCGCCCGCCAGCCCCGCGGGACCCTTTTGCTCGCTGACGTAGCTGTCGGCCAGGCTCACCGGCGGCCACTTGAACGCGTCGTGCAGTACACCGCCCTGCGCCCCGTGCCCGCCCAGACTCAAGCAGTCGAAATCCTCGCGCGAAATGGGCATGGCGCCGGCCATGTGTCTCCCAGCGTTGCCAGAGTTGAAGTGCGGGCCGTGCGGCCCGCCGACGCTTGGCGCACGGCCCGGCGTGCACCTTGGCTTGACTCCGAGGATCTCTGCAACAATAGCTAATTGCCTGACACCCAGGGGCCCCCCCCATGTGCCTTCCCCCACGAACATCGCGCCTTGGGGCGAGCACATGGGCCCGTCAATCGGCGCCTCTGCAGCCTCGCCGTGGACGGGCCGATGTGTCGGCACGGGAAGGGGCGAGTGTTTAAAGGCCGTGGCTCGCTCATCGGGATATCCTGCGCTGGCGGCAATTTCGTGCCCTTAGTAATGCCATGGGCTCACAACGAGGTACCTTTGCGACGATGCGTATGACACGCATGGCAAGGCACCTTCCTCCAATGCGGCCCAGCGATCTTTCCTGTGGTGCATCACGATAGAGCGATATGGGGAGAACTCCAAACGCATTTGTTGTCCCGCGTAGTGACCCCCCTGTGCGGAGATTAATTCGGAGCTTTAGGATGTAGGAGATTGCGATTTGCAACGCTCACAGAATGGTACAAATATTCGTACCATACCATGTGATTTTCTGCTTTTCTTTGTCCGCTCCTTCTGAAAGCATTGTTGCTGCAGTTTCGTTTCAACCGGTGCAACAGAAGTGCTGCGTGTAACAGTGATGCCGCATATGCACGTAACCTCTACATTGCCATCAAGGACTCCAATGCACCCTGCTAGTCGCATGGCTAGTGCCATTTCTAAATGCAAAACCATTTCTGTTTCTGTCTTACAAAGCTCGCCAATCATTAGGAAGATGCTGCTCGGATATTTGGTCAATTTGTCGTGAGTTCAATAATTCTCTGCAGATGCGTCATTCATGGCTAGGTTCCGCATTTAGACGATTCTTGGCGGAAGTAAACGATCACTTCACTCTCGCCAGCTCCCTTTTGAGCCCTCTTGTGGTAGGGGCAAGCCAGGCGGTAAGAGTTCTAACAAAACATATCTGTTCCCAATTCAAACGCACAATCCCGCAATGCAACCAATGCTTCTCATGTGATGGCTCCGCGCCTTTGCCAGCCCAATAAAAGCACGGATGGCAAAGGACAACAAGGATTGGAGTGACGGTTGCCTCTCCGACGCAACAGGGTACCCTGTCCATCCATTCTCTAGGGTACCCTACCCATCCATTCATGTGCATTTGCGCCAATAGTTTGCACAATTGTATATATAGGCAATACAATTGCCGCAATAGCTCGATTGCGCTGTTGGCAGTGATGCACAGTCGCAGTGAAAACTACCATGAGTCCATCGCCGCCAGTTGAAAGCCCGCAATTGTGATACGCAATAATTGACTAGAAAATTTATCATTGCAGCAAGCACAAGCGGACTACGCGCTCGGCGTGTACATTGCACAGACTGCGGAACGCAAATGCGGACTGGAGAGTCATCGGCAGCGACTGTCAATGCACTTTGCGTAGCCAGATGCTTTAGCGTCTTCAGTGAAATCGAAACAGGCATTGCCGCTACATGGGAATCGAGAGTGACCGATGGTCCTGAACCCATGGATAGATATAGATCGGACGGGAAGAGATTCTTCTGATTGCAGTTCATTTGTCATGGCTTTTCCCGACAAGTGATGGCGATTCCGCTACAACCTCATCTGTGGCACATCCATTGTGCACACAATGAGTCGTCTGAGCATGAAACCGGCTTGATCAAGCCCGTTAGTCATGACAAACGGGAAGAGCGGCCCCAAGGGACTCTAGGCGCGAGCAGCGGCAAACTAAGAGATTCAAACAGGATTTGCCAGACAATGGGGCGCGTGAAATGGAGCGGCCTTTCTGAAACGCCTTCGAGACATTACATGCAAGTTGCTGCACCAGCTTCCACCTCCGCGTTGGAGGCACAACGCTACAAATAAGCCAAGGGAATTTCCTTTTCGTTGCTGAACCCAAGACCTGGGTATTGGCCGCGACCCGGCGCCGAACAGCACTGGGAAGCCGACCGATGAAGTCAGCAGCTGCCTGCACGCCGAATCGGCCAATACACAGCCGATGCACATCGTGAGATCACCCACTTCCATGGATCGGTTTGAAGTTGCGATGGGAGGGACGGCAACACTGGAGCCGAGGATCGCTGCGTCCCCGGGATGTGCGCAGAAGGGCGATCGCTGGCAATCGAGGAACAGCCCTTGTAGCCATCTCAATGTCTCCATGAAGTTTGCTGCGAACTGCCCGACAGGCGGCTACATGGAAGAAGCGCTGGATTCGTAATAATGGTCGCATCAATTTAATGCTCCCTTAGGGAGCTCCCGGCTGCGATGGCACGCCGCGATTGTCTACACCGCTGTCGTGTTCGGCATCGGCAAATGTGTGCGATGACAATATTGTCATATATATGGTTGTATATTAACAGGGAATTCCACACCTGTGTGCCCCGCACGTGATGATGAGCTGCTTTGCAATGGGCGAAACTGACGATGTTTTGCCTAAAGAACGGTGCACCAAAGGGGGAAAAACATTATGGAAATTGTCAGAACATGGGATCCTGCCACGGAGCCTGCAGAGCTGATATACTGCACCATGCATGGGAGCACTATGCAGGTTTGCATTCGTCCTGATGGGCTCATTGAACAAGTTCGGCGCCATCAAAGGTGTCGAGCGATTCGATTGCCAATGGCTACATGGAAGTCATTGTGGGCAGAGACGCCTGCAACTGTGTCCTCACACAAATCGTTAGCATTTCAACACTTGCTTCAGACAATCCCCGCAGTCTAGATCGGAGGAATTCGACGTCGGTACGGCCCTGACAAAATACACCTGGGTTGGAGTATTCTTGTGTGATGTCTGTTTGCCGTTCTTCGAAGTCCATATGCATATGCATTGCCAAAGATGTAGAGGAAACATTGGTGTACGGTCTTGGAGCAAACAACGCTTGACGTCGGGGTCCAAACTGGGCGATTGGTACCGACTTGATTGCTGTGTACTGGAACGGGTGCCAGTCGGGGAATGCATCCTGGCTCGTGCCGCATGTCAGCAGCACTATGACACCCGTGAGGAGCTCCCTGATGTGCTTGTGGTGGAGTTGATTCACACATGGCAGCGTAAGAAAACGTGGTCGTATTTTCCAGTATGCGCCATGTGAACCTAAAATTTCTGCAGCCATTTTGTGTTCCTTCAAAACCAGCCACATTCACATTACGTGGACGACATCATTAACTGTCCGTCATTGCCTAGTCCCCCTGACCCCTAGGTGAAGTACCAAAATCAAGTGCACACCGGCACCATCGTTCGCATCAGTTCGATGTATACAAGTACTGTCATCCCAGCATCAAGTGTATGAGACGATGAGCTCATTGTCGGCCTGTAGTGTTTGCAGTTTCAACAATCCTCTGTGCGTTGGTCAGCTCCCCTTCTTGCTGCTGTGGTGAATCAGCTACTTCGGCTCGGCGCTTCTCAGGATCCAAACGTTCCAATTCAGCAAGAAGGTCATAGGCGGCGACCTGGTTGAAATTGTCTTGCCACAGGATCTGCACAGCGTAGTTACCCAACGGATTCACCGACTCTGGAGCAATGTCATCCGGAATATCACTGTCTCGGAGTGTCTTCTCCCCTGCAAAGAAGCCAGGGCGTCCAGAGTGCGGTCAGCATATCCACAAAGCCAGACGGTGGCCAGAAACCAGACTGCAGCAGGCAACGTTTGAGCGTCAAGTGCTGCTGAGTAGTGCTGCGAAGGGCAAAATATTTGTGGCCAGAAACCAGACTGCAGCAGGCAACGTTTGAGCGTCAAGTGCTGCTGAGTAGTGCTGCGAAGGGCAAAATATTTGATTCCAGTTCAGCCATCATAAACTTCTTTCTGCCTGGCGGTCGCGACATGTGCACCACATGGTTGCGTGGAGTGATATGCATAGGTGCCTGACAAGCTTACAGCACAACACCCAAACAGCTGCAGTAACGAATCCCAAAATACCACATGGCTGAAGAGCAGATAAAGCAGTTGAGTTCAAGAGAGGGGGCTTGAACCCCTCCTAAGCTCATGAAAGCTTCCATAGTGCAACATGGACGCTCGACAAGGGCGACATGTTTCCACAGGCACCAAACCACCAGAAACAAACAGGACAGCCGTCCATGCCCCTTGCCTGTCCATTCATTGATGCTGGAAGCCGATGTGTCATTTCGCCTGACAACCGCAGGGTCCAGCAGAAATTCTTTGTCGATGTCACCCGGAAGCCGGACAACAAACGCTTTCAGATCCTTGTCATATCTCACAGTGTTTTTGGGCGCCTTCTGGAGCTTGGAGATCTCACGGACAACAGCAGCACCAAGTTCGGTAAAGGCCCGGGACACATCACCCATTGGGTTGTCAACTACGAGTGGTCGCCCATCTGCACAAAAAACAGTGCGAGATTATACACAGGAGCCAAACAGCCATAGGCAGAATAGTGTTTTGTCGTATAATGCTTTCTAGCAGCACGAGGGATCCAACACACAGCAAAGCAGATCATAACAGGCCATCCGGCAGCTGCGACTGATGGAAGCCAGAGCTGATCCACACAATCCTTTGACATCTAACCATAAACTTGTGCAAATGTTCTTGGCAGACAACAAGCTCATGGGCAAAGCAGCTGTCTGCAGCATCCACGCACCATCGCTTGCCAGGGAAAGGTCTGGCACAATAGGAAATTTGAAGAGGTTGTTAAGCCCAAAGTCTTGGACAATGCGTTCCCCAGAGCCCTTTCCAAATGGGAAATGCCGCTTTCCATCAGCCTCAAAGTAGGACATGTTCTCCACAACGGCTACACAGGGAACCATCAAACGAGCAAACATGCGGATCCCTTTGGCCACATCGATGAAAGCCAATTTCTGCGGCGTGGTCACCACGACAGCAGCAGACAATGCGACTGTCTGGCACAGAGTCAGCTGGACATCGCCTGTGCCAGGTGGGAAGTCAATCACAAGGTAGTCCAGTTCCCCTGCACAGGGCACACCATGGTGCAACAAACTCAGGCCAAAGAGAGCAAACAACTTGCTTCCAACTGGCTGCGCCACCCTACATCAGACTCTAAATGCGCCATTCACAACTTAGTTCATCTACTGGCATGAACAGGAGGGCTTCTCTATGCTGCAACTACAGTGGGATGCCAGGGGCACTTGTTTTCAAAAGGCATTTTTGGCAGTGCCATGCCAAGAGTGTTGGCCACGGAAGTCTCAATGGGGAGATCTGCTGTGGATGCATCAGAGTTTGTACCAAGTGTGGCAATCAGCATGCAACAGCCAAATGACCTGTTGTTCAATCACCAGATCTGGAGGTTTGATATTGGACTGCTTCTCGTCAGACCTGTAGATAGTGCGAATCTGGACAGAGTTCTTAATGCCCTTTCAGCCATACAACATATTTGTTCTGTCATTAAAAAGACTGTCAAATCATTGTCATACTTTCACGATCAGGCAATACAACGTGTCCTTGAGCACCCTGTGTTGATAAGAGTTGCCAAAGCAAGAACGGGTCTACCAGGCTTTAATTATCACAACATCTGGCATGGCCCAGAGCACTCACCCCAGTCCGAGTCCACAAGAAGTTGCTGCACAACCCCAGAGACCATGGGACCTCTCATAATAGCACTTCCTTGGGCAGCGAATCCGAAAGAGACAAGTTTGACACCCTCATATATGGTTGGTTTGATTGCCCGCGTCTCCTCGTCCATTTCCAGGACTCGTAGTTCCGGATTGACCATCGTAGGCAAGCTCGGGCCATAAATGTCTGCATCAAATATACCTACCTTTGCACCCATCTGTGCAAGTGTGTATGCCAGGTTCACTGCAACCATGGATTTCCCAACACCTGCACAGACAACCAGTAAACCTTCTCAATCCAACATGCAAAGCCAATTTCCAAGCAAACAAGCGCATTTTCATGGTGCAGCAGAGCTGTTGCCATCCTGCCATTTAATCAATCAGAACATTCAAGCGCACAGCTAAATGTGCACTTGCAAACCACACAGGGCACGCTGTGGCACAATTCCAGCGGGAAAATTACCTCCTTTGCAGCTGTACACAGCAATAACGTTTTTCACCTTCTTCAAACCACCTGGCCTTTCCCCCTCTGGACCGAGTGGTTGTGGTGGCTGAGCATCCATCGTGACATCAACATCCTGTACCCACTCAAGGTCACCAACAAACTCGCGCGCTTGGCGCTCAAATTCCCCTTTTATTGGGCAGGCCGGAGTCGTGAGCTCAAGGCGAAAAGCCACTTTCCCAGAGGCACTGTCGATGGTGAGGTCTTTGACAAAGCCACATTCAACGATGTTGGCATTGAAATCAGGGTCGATGATCTTTTCAAGGGCGCCCAATACCTCCTGTTCTTGGATAGCTGTCACTGCCTGTCAACAAACAGAACAGGAATTACTGGATGCCCACAACCGCAGATGTCCACATGGCTTTCTCTACGTCCTCGATCCAAGGTGAGGCCCAAGCCTCCAATACAAGGTACAACATGACCACTACAATGTGCCATCCAAGTTGCCCCTTCCAGCCCCATCTCAGTCACGATTGGGCAATTGCAAACATTGCCCACGTTAGTCATACGCCACCTGCGAAGCTTCAGCCCTCAGTTGGCGCCCTCGCTTTGGCAAGCGCAGTCGGGGGGCGGTCCGCAGCCCAGTTTCATTGCCGAACAGGGTCTTCCTATGGAAGCAGGCCCTTCCTGAAGGAAGAGATTTCTGCATGGGATTCAGGGTGCGGTCCCCGCACACCGGATATCGCCACTTTCGAGTTTTCGGAATGGCAACTTTTTCTGGTAGGATTCTGCGTCCAAAGCCACAGAACTCGTCAGTAAGAAGGCGAGCCCTGCTCAATGGATTGCTCAATTGCGAATAAGGACGCATGTTAAGTACCCGCAGAGTGACAGAGGTTTTTGGCCCTGTCGTTGCTCCTAAAGCTGTTGCATTCGCCTCAGCGAGGCGTCCAGCGAAGAACAGGCACTGCCGTCTTCTGGCTCGAGCCCTGCCCGTCGGTGACACCTCAACTCTCCCAGACTAGGCCGCAGTGGGCAGCCCCAATGAACGTCTCCTAAAATGACAACCAAGCTGTTTAGTGTTGCCATTTTGGGTAGGACGTCGCTGGGTCGCATTGTTCCTGTTTGGACCCCGCTTGGGCATACCGGCGCAGATCGTGGCCCTCTGCGCCGTGGACCCAGCCCGGCGACCATGGCCGGACAGCCCGCTTCGGGGGAAGCGTGCCCCCCGGTGCCTAACGGCAGTACGCCGGGGACTCGATTGCGCGCCCCGGAGGAAGACGCTCAGGAGAGCGTGACGGTAGACGCGGGCCAGGCGGTCCCTACGGAACCGGCAAGCCAGTCAAACGGCTGGTGAGTGCGAGCAGCCCCTCGAACTCCAATACTGGAATTGCCGCAACAAAACACTTGCTATCTTGTCGCCGACGCCGCGGTCTGTGTTTGCATTTTGCGCAGTGGCGCGGACGCCAATGCCGACGAGAGCGTCGAAGTTTATGTTGGGGGTCTGCCGGAGAACGTGGAGGACGGGGCTGTCCGATCAGCTTTCCAGGCTGTAGGGCAGGTGCTGGGGGTGAGCATGGCGCGCCGGGAGGGCGGTGGGTGCAAGGGCTACGGCTTCGTGAAGCTGGCCGACAGCGCAGCAGCGGAAAAGGCGTGCAAGGCGATCCGCCAGGTGCGGCGAACGAGCAAGCGCACGTCGGCTGGGGTCGGCCAAGGGGACAGACGCTGCGAGCGCAGTTGCAGCGCAAGTTGCATTGGCATGGAGGTCTCTGGATCTGCGGCGGGGTATGATCTGCAGGCCTACCAGTACCGTAATAGAAACACGGCCGAACCCACAAACCTTTTGCGAGGTTGTGTCCTTTGCGAGGTTGTGTCCCGCCGGCTCTCTTCTGGCATAAGTTTTGGCTTGCCGGATGCGCCTGCTGAGGGCTCCTGCGCTGTTGCTTTGCAAGATTGCAGGCGTGCCCGTTGGCGTCCACTTCAAGGTTGGCGGGCAGCCGGGCGAGTCACGCGCAGTATACCATCCTGTCCTGCAGTTTTCATTGGATCGCAACCCTTCGGCCAGTATAAACGTGCTTCTGCAGAGCCTGCGGCCCGCTACAGACAAGAAGGCCGTGGTGGCTGCAGCCATCAAGGCTGTCAAAGACAGAATGGCAGGAGTGCATCTGGATGGTGACGAAGACAAAGACAAAGCCACAGGGGAAAGGCGGTGCGCGACTCTGGCTCTTGATATGGCTTCCTATTTGGACTCATTTCCAAAATGTAAGAGTTTGATGGTCAACATGAGGGCATGCCCTGGATTCGAAAACAAGACGCCCCTGGCTGTCCTGCATGAATACGCAATCAGGTTGGACTATCAGGTAAGGGTGCTGCAGAAAAGGGCCTGAACTTGAGGCGTTGCTGTTTTGCCATAAAGAGGAGGCTCATCATATGAATGTACACGTACACTGTTGCTGGTACACATGCAACAAATTCTCATTTGTGCTGCCTTGCCTGTGCACAATGAGGGCATGTGAGTCCAGGTATGAGTGGCAGATATTGAGCACCGATTCTCTTGCCTCTAATCTTGATGATTTCGTTTTCGTTTTGGGACATGGGCCCCAAAATTGTGTGGCATGGGAGGATGCCTATTGGTTGTGGAGTTTCACTGGCAAATGGCAACTTATTATGCTCCCATCTACGCTGCACAACTGGGCATCCTCTGAAGTGTAGACATCAACCACGAATTTGGGAAGGGTGAGGGGAGGGTGAAGGGATATGTTGGCCAGGAGATCAGGGGCTTGTGTTGGCTGCTCATCCAGCGTTCCACAGAAGATCTGCCACACAGATTGTCTATGTTAGCCATAGGTTGGGGCGCGGTTCACTTCCCATGAAGTTAGATGCGGGTATCTCGATATTCTAGGCCTCTTGCGAATGCACCCTGAGCTGGCATGAACAACTGCAAGGACTTTAGTGCGAATGCATCGAGATTTTCTTCCCATTGGGCCATTTGGCTTCATGGATGCTGCTTTGCCTGTCCATTGTTATTCCAATTGCAGATCCTGGAATTTGGCAGAGGAGGCTGCCACATCCACAAAATCTGAAGTGAGCATTTTGGCAGCACGAACTGAAGTGGTGAAGCACTATCATGCCATGATTCTTGGCAGAGAAATGGTGGTGATCATGCTGGGCCAACACCAGGAAGCAGAACGAGTTTGTGGCATTCTTGGCATTAGATTGTACTCCTGCAAAGCTGGAGATGCCCAGTTGGCTGATGCAGTGGCTGCGTCTGAAATTTTATCAGCAACTATGTACCAGATTCTTATCTGTGCAGAGCAATGCAACGAGATTTAGTTGCTTGGCATTCCCTTGGTGCAAAGTTGCTCATACGCTAATAGCACTGTGCATATTCTTGTACTGCAGCTGACATTCCAAGAGAACTCAACTTCAAATATGGGTCCCTTTGCAGTGGATATAACTCTGTGCAACATTCGTGGCGATGCCGTTGCCACTGGCCAAGGGCAGGTATGAGAAAGTATTTGCACTGCGAAGGATTTATGCATGCAGCTCTGTGTGTTGTAAAAAGGCAGGCCATGAAAACACCGGCAACCTACCCAGTTTTTGTTTCACTCTGCTCCTTGGCTGGCAGACAATTACCAAGGCAATTGTACTTTAGTGGCACATACTTCTGTGAAATCAAAGTTGCAGAGGGTCGCACAATGTGGCCGATATCCTGTGGCTGGGCCCCAAAAGGAAACTCTTTGGCTATCATCCTGATGGAACAGTGAGTGGTTGTCAAGTGCTTGAGACTATGTTTGAAAGATGAAACGATGGTTGAAGCCATGAACAGTCTGTGGGTGTCCTGGCATTTTCGATTGACAGGGCTGGAGGTGTATGGGGACAGACTGACTGACTGACTGACTGAGTGAAGGCTTCCTTACAGGCTTGCAAAGTACAAGAGAATGTACAGTTGTGCCCTGTTTGCGTCTCAGCTGCACAAGTTTATGTAGCGCGTCGCCTCAAGCAACACTCACCTCTGTGCTGCTCCAGAGTGGAGCTCCCAGGTCTTTTTGTCCATATGTTTAGACATCATTGCACGCCCCTGGCCCCCGGCCTAATCGAACGACCCTAAGCCACATGGCACTCCACATTCCTTGCTCCTAAACTCGCCCACGACCAAAGGCCATATGAAACGCGCTACCAATCACCTCATGCTAAGCCAGCAAAGAGACGGAAAGCCAAGAAGAGATTGCCGCACAAACTAGGCACCAAACTGTGCCAGCCATCCAAGCTTTCTGGCATAATTCCGGAGGTGTGGGGGGACTAATGAGGTTTGCCTGGAGCAAGGGGGGCCGGGGGTTCCCATACACCCCATGAACCCCCTCCTTGAAACATCCCAAAATGGGCCTGGGCATGCTAACAATATGCAAATGAGTTGATAAAAAGAAATCCATGGCTGAAACTCTTCTCAGAGTTGAAATTTGTTGTGTCAGGTGCTCACGCTTGCAAGTAACCCTGTCTGTGTCTTTGAAGTTGTGCTATCGGACAATCCCAGCTGTCACCAACTTCAGTGTGAAAAACCAGCAGTTTGTTTCAGCATGCACAGCATAGAACCAGCTGCATTCTGATAGTGTGTTGTTTGTGCAATACCAGGAATTGACATGCTCGCACAGTTCTGAAGATGACTGTACTGCATTTTGTTGTGTTGAAACACCTTTGGGACCTTGAGCAAAGGAACCATCTACTGCTAGCTGGCATTGTGTCACCATGACTGCTGCAAATCATGCTTTCTTTTCATGGACTTGTTCCAACCTGGGATCTGGGGCACTTGCATCTATGTGTTTTGTGCGTGTTGTGATGAGCAGGGCAAAGCCAAGAAGGATGCCAAGCAGATCGCATCGGCCGCAACCCTAGAAGTATTGCTCGAAACTGTTGCAGAGGATCAATTCATGCAGCCAGGCAAAGCAAGACAACAACGCATGATGCAGGTGCGATTTTATGTGGGAATGGATTTGCAGTGGCTAGTATTTGAGGCGTGAAGGGCAACAATAGATGCCAACGAAAATGCTTGCCAGCATCAATTTCTTGGACACTCTAACATGGACATGGATGAACAGCTTAGTTTGTTTTTGTTGTGCACCGCCGCGACCCACCCCCGAGGGGTGGCGCCCGCGGGGTGCACCTAGGACTGCCGGAGGCGGGGAGCGAGGCAACTGGAACGAGTTCATTACAATCAGACAACACATTCGCTAAATACAACCAAATTAAGAGTTAATGTTCGGTGGGCCCATTTCAACGCCATGTAAGGCAATGAATACACCCTAAATCCCCAGAACTTTAAGACACTTCCAAGGCATCCAAAAGAAGCTAGTCACCCAGACAATGTCTCCATATTCTTAGGAATCAAAGAGAGAATGAAACCTACCCGATTATTCCCAAAGGTTTGGTCCCAATAACAACTTGTTGTGATCCAAAAAGTACAAGAAAACGACCTTATAGTCAGCTAAATCACAACAGTTTTTGTTAGCAGTGACAAGTCATACCTAGGCACCTGTAAGGCAATGAATGGCAATGTGGTCATCGTCTTGCAACACTTTATCCAAAGCTATGCATGAGTGTCTCACAGAACGGTTCAAATCGGCATTTCAGTTGTATCTCAGCAGAGTGTGACTGACAGTTGGCTGCAGGGGGACATTGGTACAACAGTCCTTTCCTGTGGATTTTAACCTAACAAGTGCCACTTCGCTGCAGAAAACAGGTAGCAACATGTCATCAGATCTGGTGATTAGGTTTTGTCACAGTGTGTTGTGCGGAACACAACATTGGTGTGGACTTGTGTCAGCTGACGGTCATGGCATGGGTTTTTTGTGAACATGTGGCAGGGCACCCATGGCCGTGGTCGGGGTGGGTACAGCAATTGGAATGGTGGTGGTTGGAATGGTGGTGGCCGCGGTTATGGAAACGGCTGGAATGGCCACCGGGGGGGAGCTGGCTACCAAGGCAGAGGTGGGCGGCCATCTGGTATGCGCTCCAGCAACTGCGGGGTTAGGGGTGGTCGTGAAGCTGGACGCAAGCGTGACTATGAGTCAGCAATGCTGGGCTTGCAGGGGCAAGCAAATGTAAGCTGCGCCCCCCACATGAAGACCCCCAATTTGGCGGGTCTTGTGGGGGGGGGAGCAGCACAAGGGGGACTCCCTCTCAGTCCACTGACGAACCAGGTGAACTCATGCAGGGTAGTGCAAAACAGCGCCGTTGTGCGGCCAGGGAGGGGGCACTATTGCCAGTGCTTCATGCACACCCTGCACCCAGGATGCGCTTGTCAAGCATAACTAACATCTTGCTGGGTAGTGTATTCCATACAGGTTGTCCACATATCCAGTTTCCTGGGCCATTGTCTATTGAGCAGGGGTGTGAAGGGGAATGTAGATACTGCACCTGCGAGTATAGCTGCCATTGACAATTTTTGTCTGCATCGCTCTGGTGAGCAGTTTCTTCCAAGTGTGGTTTGGAGAAAATGGCAAAGATGCGATTCAAGGCCAGTGCTGCTGCAAAAAAGTGCGGCAGCTGTCATCGGAATCTGGCAAATCTGCTGACAGGAAGACTGTACCTTGGGGACAGCTGTCTGTAGGATTCCTTTCAGAGATAGCAGCAATTGCCAATCAGACATTGCATGTGCTGTGCTCCTGGTTGATGTTTGCCGGTGAAATCGTGGAGGCAAATGGTTGCTGTTGCTTGATGACCAACTCCCTGACCATTTTTTGAATTCTTTTGTTTGATTTTGGTTGCAGGGAATTGGGGCGGGGACTACTGGGATGGGAATGCCGGCTATGATGACGGGTATGACTATGGGGGGGCCTATGGGGGGTGGAATGCAAGGGGATCCAACCAATACCATCGGTGGGGGTCTAGCCAGCGCCATGGCAGGTGGTCTGGCCAATACCATGGTGACTGGGAATATCAATACCATGGTGGCTGGGACCAATATGATGGGTACCATGACGATGGGCAATCTTCAAGCTGGAACACAAACGGGTGGAGTCATGGGGGTGGGCAACGGGAGCACCTCCATTAGCCCAGTCAGCCATGCAGGGATGGTCAGTGGTGTGAACGGTACCAAGGACAAAACAATGGCACTGGGGCGGGGCATGCCACCCTTGACACCAGGTCCTGATGCACTTGTGTCCCTTGGAGCCAGCATGGGTTTGTCTGCAGGCCAGCAGACCAGTGCAGGGCTGTTAAACTGGGGTACAGGCAGCTTAGGCCATGCTCACATGGCCCAGCCAAACGGTGCAGGCTTCCTTGGAACTGGCAGTTTTGGACAACAAGCGCAACTGGGGCGATTTGGCTTTTGACGGACAGCATGAGGTTGCCCAAACAATGGGACAGCAGCAATGCGCTGCAGAAAAATGACGTCAATAATTGCTGGTGGGCCATCAGAGGTGCCCTTGGTGGAATGTTGGTCTGCCATGTGACAGCTTCGTTTAGTTCCGTTTGTGATGAAAACATGTGGTGGGTGGCTGGCGGCACAGAAGCAAGCAACTTGCAGTGTAGCCTTGGATGCCATGCCAAGAACTATTGTACAAAGGCAAGTGTAGATCAGAGTGATGTGAGGACTCCTGTGGACTGGTGAAGAAACATTATAGCGCCTGCAGTCGCAGTACCTCCATGGGACTCCCTTGACGGCAGGTCCCAAGCGCCCAGACTTGGCGGATCTGCCGAAACAGAACAACTCAAAACTCGTTTGTTTTGTCGCACTCTACCCAGAGAACTGTGCATAGTTTGTGGATTTGCCGCAGTTTTGGTCTGTCCATGATGTCGCTTCTACATGGTGCACTTACTGTCTCTTCCAACCTCTGGAACACACAATCCACGAGCCTTAGCGATTAGCTGCCCCCTTTGTGGCGCCGTGCATGTGACGGCGCCGCCACGACTGGAATTTGTGAGTTTGACAACCATTTGCTGGACGTCAGAGTTTGATGTGGTCGATACGTGCCGTGATTCGCCACACTGATGCAGGGGTGCGCACATTCAGGCCACCTTACCCTACCCCACCCCCAACCCCCAACCCCACGTCACCAGGCCAATCTCGCCCTTCAATACAACGTGGATTGTGCACATTGCTTGTCAAGTACACTTCCCCGCTTTGTGGGCAAATTCCAGAGCAATACTCTGGAAAACGTACACCCAGCAGGCTACCTCTATTGAACCAAATTTGGGGCTGCCTGTTGTGCTTGACGACGTGCCCGTAGGGTGTCGATGTTAGCCTGTGGATTGTCAAAAGCCGTAAATTCCACATGCACAACTTGGCTGTGGTAACGGCCCATAGAGGCGTGCCATACTGTCAGAGTATTCTGGGACGTTCACTCGCGATCCGAGCAACCAGTGGCAGTTGCTGAGAGACCTCGTGACTTCAGCCACAGACAATCATTAGCGTAGCGCCCTGGTGCATGTTAGGAACTGCAAAATTATGGCACACCGTTGGGAACCTTTCAGCTTATAGCGCACCCGACTTTGTTTCCATCAGTGCCGGCAGCTGGCTAGTCCTGTTCCCTTGGTCGAGTTTTTGCCACCTGGTTACCGCCGAACAGCTTCGTTTGGTGCAAGGCGCGAGCAGGACCTTTGAAACCATTGCACAGCAGGGGCGCACAACACGGAGTGATGCATTGCATGTCCGGCATGTTCATTTGTGTGTATATGCCTTCATTTGTTTTGTCGATGGTGTTCTGTCGCTTGCCTTGCATTGTCTCTGTGCTTGCAGTTTCCTATTCGGCAGCTCTAGGGTAGTCCGCTGAATCGCGTGACTGTCCTCCGCGGCTGAACCAGGGACAACCGACGGAGTGGCCACTACTCGGGTACACAGTTCGCCGCCTGCTTGGGCGACCCGTTCCACGCGCCGCGTCCTGGGAGGTGTTAGTCACACCGTGCTGGGTCTGTCTGTCAGTATACAGCGACAGCCGCACGAGGATGCCCTTAGAAGCGGAACGAGGACGGATCAGTGACATAAAAACCGTCACCCTCGCAGCACGGCAAATTGCAGGCGTGCGTCACACCTGCGGCGGCGCTGCGTGGCCTGCCGGGCGGTCGTGGGCTCGCGCGGGAAGGCCACGTCCCCGCGTGGCGCCGGAGGGCCAAGGGGCAAGGCCTGAGGGCCGCCAAGTCAGTTGTCGAGAGGTCTGCTGGGAGACTCAGGCAAGGAGGGGCGCAGGGGAGTCGTCAGGAGCGTGCAAGAACGAGGGGGGAACGGTCCGCAGAGCGCCCGCGGAGCGTCCCGCGCACAGAGCCGTCTTTCAACACGTGCTCGCCCCCCCCCCCGTGCCCCGGTTGGCAGGAGACCGGTGTGCGGCCAGCGGTCCAGGGCCGTGCGGAGTCAACGCTGCGTGCCGCCCTGCAGAGTGTGGCGCGGTCGTCTGCGCGGCCCCGCGCGGCGTGCTGAATCGGGCGCTGCTGACGGCCGTGTTGTTGAAATGACAGAAGTTGCCCTCTTGCGGGGAGGGGGCTCGGGCGCCTCCGCAGTGCGCATTTCCGCTCAATGCGCGGTTGAGGCGCGCGGACTGGAGGCACGCAGATGGGGGGATTCTGCAGCAAGGGTGAGGAGGACACTCCCCAAAGGAAGCAAGCTGACACGTCGACTCAGAAGGCAGCTCCCAAGGTGCAGCCCTGTCTTCTGTGCACATCATCTTGGGGTGGCCGTGCGTTGGCGATCCACCTGTAGGCCTGCCCAATCAGGCTCCTCGCGTGCGCATGTGTGTTTGTTGCCCGCTCCTGTAGACCTCGCGAACTTACCAGGAACCCTTTGATACAATAAGATAGCACATTCGTCACCCTCGCAGCGCACAGGGGCATTTCTTGGGTTGCACATTACAATCAATGGGGCGAAGGCCATCAGTAAGCCCTGATTCAAGGTGGGGCAAGGGGCAAACGCACTGTTCCAGCGCAACCCGCACAGCTGTTTTGAATCTGAATGTGAAGTGTGCCCACTGCCCATGGGAGGGCTGTCCTGCAGTTCAGGGTGTCTGTGAAACGAAGTGGGGAAACCAGTTCAATGGGAAAGTATTTTGGACTGCACCTTCGACAGCCACTCAAGTGCTTACTCTCACGCTCTGGAAAATCGACTGATAGAGTCCCCGTCCGTTGGCGCCTGGATAGCTCGAATCCGCGTTTACATATCAAATTGGCAAGGGCGGTATTGGGCCTCCAATGTGTCCAGATCACCCATATTCCGTTTGTTCTTCCGAGACACCAACTTGGCAGCAAGATGAGAATCAGCGCTGGAAATCAGCCAGTACGTTGGAACGTAATGCATTGCGGATATTGCCAGGCTGCTGTGTGGTGGTCATTAGTGGCTGCGGCACAACAACATAGCGATTTCACAAAACAGACCTTTGACACAACGATTGCCGCGTCATTTCGCATAAGATAGACTATGCGATAGATAGCTTCGCGACCAACCGATTCCTCTGATTTGTGGCCAAGCGGCCACCAAGACATAAATGGCTGTCCGAAGAGCAGAAAGGGCGTCTACATTCGCTCTCAGTTGCTGCCCTTGGGAAGAAAAATCCGAATTCGGGATGCTCAAATCTATATCATTGTTCCCCCTTGGGCCAACTATTGTAATTCGCTCACCATTTCCTTGGGTTAGCATCGCAGAATGGAAGCTCACTTCCAAAAGCGAGCACGCCAAAAGTGGCTATTCCGTCTGCCACTGCCAAAACAGACAGGAATTCTAATCCGCAGTGGATGATGCGGAAGAGGATTGCGGTGGCAGCAGAAGCTCTAACGAATAACTCGGATGTCAGCATCCCCAATGTTCCCAAATCAGATCACTCCGTCAAGCTCATAGGTAAGAACTCTTTTCTTATGAACGCTCAAAGTGGATTAATCTGCGTGAAGAGTGCAGTAATACATTCTCTAGGTTTGACCGTTTCATAGTAGACGATCTCCGTATGGAGCTTCCAATAGGGAAAAACAGGCCAGATGACACAGTCCTGTCACGGTCGGCTCAAAATCCAACTGTGTACTTTCGGCAAATGTGGTCCCAAAAGTGCACAGTTGGATTTTGAGCAGACCGTGACAGGACTGTGTCATCTGGCCTGTTAAATTCTGGAATTCAAGAATACTGCAGCGCACACCTCCCAAACACATTGGGTTGTTTCGTAAATTCTTTGGCAAGGATATACAGATGTTGGGATGGGAGGTGGGGGTGGGGGTCACGCAGGGGATGGTTTGCAGATTGGGCTGTCTTCCAACATGTTTTGGTGAATTGTTGCTGTGCAGAAAAGGCTGTGAACGGCAATTTGCTCTTCGACACCCTGTCCATACCAGCAAGAGCAGCAATTATCAATAGCATGACTCCTTTGTCGGTGTCAGCTTCGACTACCATCATCAAGCAGGTAGAGTCTCATGGCCTCCAGCTGGCGATTTTTGGCAGGCATCCTTCCAAGTTGTGTCGTACATCCGTGGAGCTCGGACACTGAGAACACCGCTTCAAACGAGGGACTCGGCAATCAATTCCATCTCAGCTTGTTGAACGCCAGCAAAGCCTTATGTGTTCTCTCCACTTGCTCATGATTGAATGACCAAACCAACCTTGTTCTGTCACTGTCGTCAGTTCTACCAAAGGCTGCAGATTGTTATTTTGTCCTTTAACAGCATTCACGCATCACCCCGCTTTGCATTGAAACACGTCTGATTTCCGTGATCACTCTGATGAGAACACTCTAAGGCGGCATTTACCCAATAACAGGGAAGCAGCAAAAGCTGCAGGCAGGACTGTCTGATCCAATTCGCATGGTGCAGGGAGAGGTGGATGCAACAAAATTTTATGTGTTGGAAAGTGGAAAATGCGAGGTATACCTCTTCAACGAGTCCTGGGCGGAGGAGAGACTTGTGCACACCTATCATCCTGGGAGGTAAACGCAACCAGTACCGTCCATCCACGCATCTGCGATTCGCTTCCCGCTTGCATTTTTAACCTCGCCGTGGAGAGCTGGCCATGTTGCTTGTCAATTGGAAGTGAACCGCTTAACCAATTCTGGTTGAGGTTTTCCCTGTTACCTGTAGTGAACACATCAAAATTTTCCAGCAACATTTCGGCTTGGGTTGCTTGTCGGTACGCGTGCCATAAGGCTGCCCACAGACAGCTGTGATTTATGTTTGTGCAGCGGCTTTGGCGAGCTTGCTCTTCTGTACTCTGCGCCTCGAGCTGCCACGGTCAAGGCCGTCATGGCCTGCAAATTGTGGGTCATGGAGAGATCAGTTTACTCAGCTGTGAAGCACAATTTCGATCAACAAATGATACAGCAAAGGCAGCAGCTAGTGGAAAAGGTGCCTCTTCTGCAAATGCTGTCCGAAGACCACAAGGCTATTCTTGCAGAGGCATTGGAAATGGTGGGGCAAATTTTCGAGAACACAGCGTGCATGTCGCAGGCAAAATCTAATAGGCCATCCACGCTATTTGGTTAGCATGCATTCAAACCCGGTTAGACAGTTCCGGGATTGAGGGGCAAAACTGTTGTTGTTTTGAACGGTATCCGATGTTCATTGCCGTAACTGGTTGATTGGCGCTGATACAAATGTTTTTTTGGAGCTTTGGAAACCCTTTCAACAAAGAGTGAAATATTGTCCTCAGGGTTATCACAACTCTTGATGCGGATACCAAGACAGCTGAATGAATTTCATCTGACCCTTCCATGAACTGTACATGACAAAATAGGTGGATTTTCAGCACGACCAGCGTATACTCAACGAGCAGGAAGTGGGAGACAAGTTCTTCATAATTCGAGAAGGAAATGTGAATGTCACAAAGCAGGGCAACGTCATCGACAAACTGGGGCCCGGTGACTATTTCGGGGAGAGAGCTCTTATCCAGGACGACAAGAGAGCCGCCAGTGTCGTTGCTCAAGGCTATGTGGTTTGCTACACACTTAGCAGGCAGAACTTCAACAACATCCTGGGACCCATCGAGGTTCTGTGGAGGTATGAGGTCCTGAAAAAGGTAAGGCACAAGGGAAACCACTACAATATGATTAGCCTGCTAGGCTGGAAACATCATTAAAATAATTCAAAGAGGGCCTTCGAATAGCGCACACCCATGTCCGTTGACCTCACTTTACCTTTGCAAGGTCGCAGAAAATTTGCGTGTGCACTTTTGGACACTGATCATTTGGTATGGCTCGAGCCCACTGCCTTTAGGGCAATTCCATCCTCTCTCTTCCTGCTAATCGTATTCTGTGGCGCGTGGTGCTATGCCATCTGCCTGGTGGCTGTAGTTTGATTATTGTTTTGCCATTTGTTAGCGAATCAATAGTGGCTCAGAGTGGACCTATATGTGGAGCTGAATTGCTGCCTTTTAGTGCGATGCAGGTCCCCATTTTGTTCAACCTCAGCGATAGACAAGCCTGGAGTCTTGCGCAGCAAATGCAGCCTGCTCATTTCAAGGCAAACGAAGTCGTTCTTCGCAAAGGAGATGAAGGGGATACATTTTACGTTATTGAGGACGGCCTTTTCTCAATATTCGATGGTGTGTTTCAAGCCAGGGCTGGTGTCATTCGTATCTTCTAACGGATTCCTTTCAAAAGAAGTATTTGGCAATCGCTCAGCGTTTATATCTGTTATTAATAAATTATGCTAACGCATCCAAGCACATGATTTCTTTTGTGCAGCGCATTTGAGGTGTAGCTTCTTCCAGAATAGTTGCATGATGCCCCTCAAACTAATTGAGCAGTGTTTATGATATGGTTTCACCCCTATGATCCTCACTGGGATGAATGGCTTCGGAAGTTCAGCAGGCAGCGCAACTTTTCGACATAAAATATTCATTTTCGCTCTTTGTTTGTTTTGCACTCAGAAAACAAATGTGAACTGGCGCGAGTCGGAAAGGGTTCCTGTTTTGGAGAGCTAGCACTTTTGAGACGAGATGTTCGAGCTGCTAACGTAGTAGCGATCGCTGATTCCAAGGTGCGGCTTCGGCACCTGCTGGAATTGCTGGGGTTCAATGATGTATGTGACATCACGCATTGCGAAGACTCTAGGCAGACCACATTGTGAAGCAGGCCTCTGGTTTGGAACATGGTGGTGTCACCTCTGCACTTCGCCGTGTAGCACACAGGGGGAAGTTGGAAGGGTGTAAGATCAATAGGCATTGCCACCTGCACGCTTCAAATCCTGTGACATCCTTTCCGGGGAATTGGGTGCAACTACAATGCACACTGCTTGCACGAAACGCATTTTTATTTTTTTGGCATTGTTCACATTGACAGTAGTGTTTTCGCAAAACTGCAGTATGCTTCAGAGCGATTTGGCTAGGGGCTGGGCAAACAATTTGAAAAACAGTTGCAGAAACCTGTTGCCGTGGTAACGTAATGCGACTGGATCATTTCGCAGTGTCTGCTGCTGCACCGGGATGTCTTCAATTCCATGCTGGGGAGTTTAGGTCAGATTCAGCATGTCTGGAGGTTCGAGGCGCTGAGGAGAGTGCCAATATTAGCTCAGCTGACGCCTGGACAAAGATCCTCGTTATGCTCCGCGTTCAAACAGGAGTCTTTCAAAGCTGGAAAACGGATCGTGAAACAAGTGAGCGGGGTGAATTCGCCCTTTAGCTCGGGGGGACTGCAAACACGGTTGATGCGTTGCGTTGAGCCTCCCTTACCAGTCAGGCTGCAGATTTCAATGCGGAATTACACTCATCATGTTGATCGCTCCTTGGTATTGCCCTTGCCAAGGCGGTGGAATGCATGTTTAAATGCGAACATAAGATGAACATTACCTCTGCACTAAGACGTTCCTGTCTCTGTCACTAGCCGTAAAGGCAGTAACAAAAGTCGATCTTGTTGATTGCATCCCAATGTACTTCTGCATCTCAATTTCCGCAGGCACAACATGACCGGCCGCTCACAGATACCTCTATGTCCCTGTCACCGAATATGTCTTGCCCCGCATCCTTTCCTAAGGCGCTGCGAACAACGTGAACTGCGCGAAAGCTTTGCAATGCATGGTGAGAAAAAAAGAGCAAACAATAATTCACGACAGTAATACGAACGACTTTGGTCCCGTGAGGCCTCGAAATTTGTGTGCAACTCCAGGGAGAACAGGGCGATAGGTTCTACATCGTAGAGTCTGGCATCGTGGGAGTATTCAAAGACGGATGCGAGAACCCTCTCGTCAAACTTGGTCCAACGTCGTATTTCGGAGAGCTGTCTTTGCTGAGAAACGACAAGCGCGCCGCCTCGGTGATTTGCCTCACCAATGTGACGGTCCTGTCGCTCAACAGGGCCGGCTTCGATGAGCTCCTGGGACCTTTGCAGCAGATCATGCAGACCCAGGCCTCGTCTTATGACGCCGTTACGAGCAACAAACTTGGAACTCAGGTGTGACAAAGTGTGTTGCGAATGGCTGCCGATTTGGTAGCCCTGATTTCTTGAAATTGGAAAAGCCGACATTGCATTAGCTGTTAGGACCTCTTAAAACGAATAGTGGTGTTTAGGAAAGGTTAGTTGTTCTGCACGATAGTGCACTAACCAATGTGAAATGGATTGGAGAGGTGTCTAACGTGCGCGTTGTCCGCTCAAATGGTATTGGCTCTCAAGCACGCGCTTGAGAGCCAACATCCTTTCCCATTGAGAGCCAATATCATTAAAAGATTGCCGCTGTTTACAAAGAGCGAATGTCACTAATTCGCTATTAAGTGAAGCAAATGTTGCTTCAGCGATGGCTCAGAAATAGGTGCTTTAGAACAATTAAATACATGAAGTCGACTTGCCACGACTATTGATTTGCCAGAGCCCCACGCAATGCCGAACTCTTCTTCTCTGAGACTGAACAATCACCTGCAAGCGAACAGATTTATGGGCTTTTAGCTCGCCTTGAGCTTTCCGGCTAGATGGCACAAGGCTCGCGCGTCAGAACAACGGCGGCACATGGACACTGAAGCATGATGTCGTATTTTGGGATCAAGAACGACTGCCCAATAGCCAGCCATCTGGATGTTTTCGCATCAACTGCAGGTTAAGCTCGAGGACCTGAAGAAACATGGGGTGCTGGGAACTGGAGGCTTCGGTCGCGTGTTGCTCGTATCCCATTGTGGCAAGTTCTACGCCCTCAAGTGCATGAGCAAGGCTTACGTGAAAGAGTCAAATTTACAGGACCATGTCAAGCGAGAAAGGGACATCATGCTGGAATTGCAGTGTCCCTTTATAGTCAATTTGTTGGCCACTTTCAAGGACACCTACACCGTTTACATGTTGATGGAGTCCATTATGGGAGGGGAGCTCTTCACGTACCTCCAGGTAAATCGAATGCGTGTGCGCCCTGGATGTGCATCGAACGCAAGTAAGCTTGCTAGCAAAGCAGCCGCATAGGCGATTGCGTTCAAGCACCAAAGAGGAAGCTTTGAGGGATGTTTGTCATTTGAGAAGCCCTCAGCATCAAGAGGTCGTCGTGTTTGGCAACATGCTTGGGGCATATGAAGTTGATGGAGGCTTGCCAAGCATCATCGTTCCAAGTTATATAATTTGAGCGAACAAAGCGGCCGTCCTGTCATATTTGAGAGCCAGCGCCCGCTTTTTTTTCTGCATGGGGGATCTACAGGTACGTTTGCTTATCACAGAAAAGAAGAAAGCCTCTCAGCGAGAATCACGCCCGATTCTACGCGGCGTGCGTTATTGGAGCCTTCGAGTATTTGCAAGAGCGGCACCTCGTCTACCGCGACTTGAAACCAGAGAACCTCCTCATCAACGTTGACGGGTATCTGAAGGTCACCGACTTTGGTTTCGCCAAGAAAATGCCCACCGGGGGAAAGACCTACACCCTTTGTGGGACTCCGGAGTACTTGGCTCCCGAGTTGGTCACGCAAACTGGGCACAATCACGCGGCTGACTGGTAAGCCACATTGGATAGGAAAAAAATACCAAACAACGCGTGTTCAAAAGTGCACAAAGCTTACTGGTTTGGATTATTTTCTTGCTTTTAGCGTGCACAACACTAATGAAATGCATACATATGTGTTCGCACAAAATGTTATTTGGTCCAAGTGATTGCCTGTCAACACTTTGCGTACAGAAAGGGTCAACCGTAGACATTTAGTAATTAATTGGCATCTTTGGCATACGTCTTTAAATGCCCAATTAGTAACCCAATTCCATGATGAAAATTCCTGAGGAATTTCGCGTTGGGCCATGGTGCTCCATAATCCTCTCAAGCATTCCAAAAAACCACTGATCAATCCATTGTTTTGTGCTACCAGGTGGGCTGTGGGTGTCCTCATTTACGAATTGGTGACAGGGCGGCCCCCTTTCTATGACGATGACCGAGTTAAAATGTTCAAAAAGATTTGCGATGTGAAATTCTCCTTTCCCCAGCACGTTTCAGAGGCAAGTGAACCCGGATCTGATCCGAACCTTTCAAAAAGAATTGCGTGTTGTCATAGCGTGGTACGCAACTTTGCCGAAGTGCCTTGCTGCTGAGTCTTGACCGCCAATTCCAGAAATAATACGAACAAAAACGAATTGGAGTTTACACAGTCCTCACCCATATATCGCGAGTGCGCTAGACGCCGGATCATGACGTGGAATCTGCGGTGCACCGTTGTCTTCTTATCGCGGAGCATTTCAAATTAAAAGTCTGCATATCCGTGCAGCCGTCTTTCATAGCACCAAGATGATCGTGTTTTCGGACGGACGTGCGTTGTTTGCCTGTCGGTCAGTCACACAGTATCCTGCCGGGGAGCTGTGATAATTCAAGGATGCAGCGAAGCCAGTGGCAATGACGTGCCAGTTACCGTTGCATTCCGTGAGCACGGTATGCTTGAGAGCCATGTAATTGGCAAAAGCGGTCGATTCTTACCGAAACAAGCACGATGACCAGAAGCACTGACCAAGCGCGCTGTTGTGGAAATTCGGTACTTTTACCCATTGCCGCATTTCTATTGCTGCCATATCATATTCAAATATGACTGTCAAAACACTGGCAGTAAGTGTGGTTTCACTGGATGACGTCATGAGACGCGTTTACGCCTTCTGCATCCCAATGCATGGGGCCCAATGATCAATGTCCAGGTTTGCCGGCATTGATTCCGTGCCCTGCGAATGATGTGCATTCGCTGTGCACATAAACAGGAATTAAGAGATCTCATCAAACGACTCCTTATGAAGAAGCCGGCGATGCGCCTTGGGGCTCAGAAGAACGGAGCTTCTGATGTGAAGGCACATGCATGGTTCAAAGGATTCAACTGGCCAGCTTTTGAGCGCCAGGAGCTGCAGCCTCCCTACCTGCCAAAGGTGAGAAGTGTGCACTGTGTATTATGCCCGCAGAGGGATGCCGTTGCTGTGACGGCTGCTGGGAACGGGAGAGGCTGCTTTGCAAGAAACGTTTGATTTGAAGGGAGAGTGGTGTCTTGTGACTGCACAGGAGCACCGTTGAAGCGCATGCCTTCATGCCTTCTGAGAATCGATGCAAGTTCATTGGTAGACATTGGCGAGTTTTCATTTCAGGTGTTGCGCATTGGTACCCATCACCGAGCATCCGGCGGGAAGCTCAGGCGGCTTCGAAGGCACTTATCGACACCGGCACTGCATTATATTTGTACCAGCGTAATATCATCCGTTATCTGGGATCCTCTACGTTCAAATTTCTAATCACCATTTTCGAACCAATCGAGCTCTAAGAGCCAATCTAAAACAAAAATGACGTGCTCTGCGTTAGTCCATTTGCATATCCACAGCGCCGCCAACGCGCAGTTTCAACCACTCTTTGATCGACGATCACCTCCCTCTGCAGGTCGCTGGGCCCGGGGACGCGAGCAATTTCGTTATCCCGGCAGATGCCAATACTCACCCCGCTATGCAGCAACCAAAGAGATATGTGTCTACAGGCGTCTTCAAAGACTTTTAGCTCAATGACAGCTGCGCAGGAACTTTCAGAGTCAGGATACAGCCACGTGAGTCCACGAGCTACTGTGTTGCGCCCACATTTGTTCATTGCGATGGACAACATTCCCGAGGATTATTGCAGTAGAATATCTGGCGATGACCATCGACACAAGGGGATAGAACATAAGGGATATTTTTCCATTTAGAAATAGCTAGAACTAGGTATTCCAATAGAAAATGGTTTGCTTCCTCCTTGATGTGTATTAGCAGCACATTTGACGAGCATAAACTGATGTACGTGGAAGCGTTGAGCGCGGTGGGGGTATTGGACGCAAAGCAAGATTAAGTCTTCGGAGACGCGTGTTCATGGAATACCTGGGATGGCATGATGACATTTCTATTTCTTGATGTAAGGTATAAGGATTACAATCAATTGGCCTTCGGGGAGCTCGCCGCATTCTGGACGTACTTCTGAGGAGCATTATTGGGTATACGGCTGCCCGTGCAGTCGATCTGACTTCCTATAAAGCGTAAATTGTGTGCCTCTGGTTGAAAAGACACTATTGGAATGCGAGAATGACCCGCTGCCATCCAATGCGTCAAGAGAGACCTCACACGGGCCCCGCCACAGCGAAGCCTGGTGATGGGTTGATCCAAATGGAAGGGTGCTTGGCGCCCCTGCTTGCATTCGCGAGGCCGGTTTCTGGCACGGCGTTAAACTCCTCTATTTGAACCGCTTTGCTTGGGGAACTGTGTACGGACGTCATTTGAAGGCAACGTAAAGCGATTGCTCTGTGGATGGGCGTCCCGTGTCTTTGGCTTTATTTGCAGCCCTCTCCAATTCTGCAGTTGTGGTGGCTGACAGCACGGGTCAGGTAAACGTGTAGTAAATGAAGTCAACAAGGCGCACATGCTGAGTATGGTAAAAATACATGAAAGTTGCATGAAACGTGAATTACAGTGTACAGTGCATGGCGGTGAACAAGTGCCAATGATTTGGTCAAGACGATGCTGCACATTTGCGCAAGAATGCATTGTCTAATCTATTCTCCACGACCTGCCCCTTGCTCCTGAGGGCATCCGTGTGGGAGCAAGTGCTGGCTGAACAAGCAAATATGGCGACTCAACTGCTCAGATTGTATATATCAGGAGGATCGCGGGAATCGAGTTCTAGCCTGAAACAGCCAGGATATTGTTGGGTGGAATCTTGACCGAACATGCATGCTTTCCTTGATTGAAGCGGCTCCGTTTCCTCTGTAGAGTTGGGTGTACAAGGTAATTTTCGCTATCATTTCCAATCCCGGCATCGTCATGTGCCCTTGCTCTGGCAGGTGATGCTGAAGACATCATTATAAACATTCACATCACAAAACAATGTCGTATTCAATGTGTTTTTAACGTGCAGGTTACACTACTCGATTTCCAGAAAGTTTGAGAGATCGGCTGGTAAAGATTGCTTGAATTTGTCATGAATATTAGGGGTGGGGAGGTGAATGGGGCAGATTTAATTAGAACGATTATAAGACAAGCGCACCAAACGTTTTTTATTCATTGCATTCTGGCATGTTTTGCTTTGGTCGTTTCAATGCTTCCCTTTCGGTATACATTGTTTTGAAGTTTGCACGTCCAGTGCTCAATGTGCACGAAGGTTCGGACGGCTCCAGGAAAGGGACACTGAGATGCCATGTAATTGCAATAAATCAAAACAAGCCAAGATGGCCGATGACTGCCTCCATGTCAACCATGGTGGTTTCGGTGGGTTGCTGTCGCTGGGCGCAATTCCACGAGACAGGCTGGCAAGTAGGGCATGCGGTCCGCTGGAGGTCCATAGGGGCATAAACTTGGACGATCGACGATGATTACCAATAGAATTTGGTGATCAGCCCCTAAACGCTGGCTGTCAGTTGGGTACGCTGGACGGAGACGTGCTACTAAAAGCCATCCAAACGGCACCAGAACCTTCGCAGTACTCTCGGTCGGTTCTGCGCGTTGCTTTTAGGTACTGCAAAGACAGCAAAATAAGATCTCACGTCGAGGGGGCGGGGTGCGGTGCTCTGATCTTCGCGCCCATTGAGCGCTAAGCGCACGGAAATCAGAAATACTGTCTTCCCTTACAATGGCATAAATTTTGCATGGCTAGTAAATAATTCACGTGCAGCGTTTCGGCTTGATTTCCTGAGTGATAAATGTTGATGAACTCACAACAGTAACGCACGGATGCTGCGGGGAGCTGGGATTTGAATTTCAGAATTGGGCTGAGCATTGCAGCTTACTACGCCGGCTGCTTCATGACAACGCTTGCAGAGACAGAGCTGCAGCAACAATCTGCACTGAAAAGCGAAAGGCACAATTATCTATGGGCCATGTACTACAAAGGGCACGGTTCAAAGTGCTAACAGTGAAGCTCCCCAGGGCTTCGTCTTCAGTACTTCCCAGAGCGTTGCCTTGCAAGAGCTCTTTTGGCCTGAAGTGATAAAAAAAATACAACTGAGTCGTTAGCCTTTTGGTGAATTATCATATTATAATTAGTGGCTGATCTTCAGGAACGTGCGGTCGATTGCATCGAGTTGTGCGTTTTATCTTAAAACTTTTAAATCGATGCCAGGATTTATCGCTTCCCAATTTCAAATAACAGAATGTGGTGCAATGGACACCACGTAGCTACTGTTTGGTTTTTGTCCGACCTCGGCATTGTTGTTCGGGTGTTTTTCAGCAGTTTTTTCCTGGAATGTTGCTGCGGGCGCTTCCTTCAGGATTGGATTGGTTCGGAACGTGCTCAGCATGCACCCGCATACCTTGAGCCTTCTCCATGCGATTTGAAGCAGCGTCGCAGCCCAATTGTCTCTTGCAAGGTCTGGCCATTTGAAGTCAAATTGGATGGTGCAAGTGGGGATTTGATTCTCGGCGGCATTGCCTCTCATGACGGCCCACAAATTGTTGCTGGCTAGAACCCTTCTTTCCTCACCATTGAGCATGAAGTTGAGAATGCAGTCACTTTGAGACATTAGGGCCATTCTGAATAGCTTGTACGCTATCTGGCGGAAAGGAGTTGCCACAGATACACAGTCGTCAGCAAACGAGCGCCTTTCCTATTTATGGCGAAAAACACATAACCGATATGTCATGTTATTGAATATGATGCCAGGTAATTTTAGGTATCCATTATGGCGAATTACGAAACAGATAGTATTGGACATGATGCCCATTTTTGAGCCATGAAACGAACAAAAGTTGGTAAAACTTAAAGGCCCCTCTCCCCAATAAGCCAACATTGACCTCCATTTAAAGTTTCTTAATAATTGGAATTAGATTAGGCAAATTAATAGCTTGTTCATTTGGCACAGATACCGGTTTCCGCACCAGATCCACCATCACCTGGCTCATAGCTAAGCTCGATTCGGTATGAACACGGCCTTCTACTGCATTCAATATTCTTAGGTATCGAGATAAAGACATCCACTTATTTGGTGGATTTTACTGGTTGCACAGCACGCATGTTGACAGTAGAATACTTCTGGACGCTGTGAACTCCGACCAACAGCATGTGTGCCACGTCGTTGAAAATTTGCTTTGTTCTCTGAAATAGGATCCTGACCTGAGTGGATCTTTTGGAACAAAAAACAATTGACTTGTACGCATATTTGCTGCCGAGGTAATAGCTGTGCTTTCCTTTGTTTTGGAGTGGGCCAGCAATTCGCGAACGAGGGCAAAACAAATGCATTCCATTAAATGGCCATTAAACCAGCAATGGGACGCGGCGCCGACGTGTTCTTTACGAGGGTGGACAGGTATTTCAAGGGAAAAACACTTTGGGAAAGAATGGAACATTATGGCCATAATGGCCATTGACGTAACGACCATCCAAAGCACAAAGCGTGAAAGAAACGCACCTGATATTCATCTGGCCTCATCATGCGAAGTTCATAATGCATTGAAGGCGATCTGCAGTCGAAAACATTGTAATATCCCAGCCTCTGGCACACCATCACCTGCTCCCTGGGCTCGAGGCTCTGCAGCACTTTCGGCCATTTGTCCTTCTTTTCAACCATGCGTGCCCAGAACATGCAGCAGATCTCCACCCGCTGCATGGCACTGGTTTTGGGAGCAAGCCTGAGAAGTTGGAGGAGCTGGTACACCTGTGGGTGCAACGCTTTAAGGATTCAATTCACAATTCAAAATCAATTTGGCAAAGCCGGAGTGCTGAAATTGCAGCTCCTGCCTGACCTCAACTTGTGGGCGCATCTCACCGAAATATAGCTGTGTATCGCCACTGTCCTCAGTGCGGGCACCAGTCCCTGCATGTCCAGGACCGATGTGTGTGGGCTCTGCGGGCTCTGGCCTCTCCAATTCTCAAACCTTCCAAGAACGTCCACCATGGTCTCTACATCGACGTTTCGCATTTTCGCCATTAGAATTTGGCCATCCAGACAATGGGAATTGACCAGGTAGCTCTTCAGAACCAGGAAGTGCTGATGGGACAGGGCTGTCGCGTCTTCCGGTATCGGACGAAGATCGGTGAAGCACAACTGAGCAGACAAGACAAATGGATGCCTCGGTGGTGGCAAGCCAATCACCGGACTCACTGAATTACATCCAGGCACTTGTCGATTCTGTCAAGTGGGGACTGGAGATACGGAGTATAGGTTGTTCTTTGCAACAAGCCTCGACGTACCAAAATCAACAAAGTTACCCAGCATCCAAACGACCGAATTCTGAATTGCGGATGCACGCCACAGTCTCAGGAAAAGATTGCCGCGACATTCATTCCACGTCCGATGGCGATACGATAGCAATAAAGACGCGTTTACCTCCAGCATCCCTTCTCGAGGAAGCTTGAATTCTCTTGGATCTTCTATAAAAAATGTCTTTCCATCCAAACAACAATGAGGAGCGCAGGTGCGCAGAGGAAGGTCACAGAGCATGTCATCGTACTGGCGGGTGAATATTTCCATCAACCGCTTTGCAATAGTGAAATGGGCTTGATGCCCTAGAATGAGACTGTAGCTGCCTGTCGCATTGTTT